TGTGTGTGTGTGTGTGTGTGTGTGTTTAGAGAACGATAGAGCAATTTAATTAGAGAATTAAAATATTATGAGAATGTCGTATAATGAATTTTCATCAATCTATTTTTTCTCTTATATAAAAACCTTTTTCTTAAATTTCGAAAAATCGATATAAAATAAACGAAAAGAAATTGTACCATATTGTACATCGATGAAGATGAATGTAACTATAGCACGTACAGTCGCGAACAAATCGGTTGCGACACTTTCTTTTTATAGGTTTCTAATATATATTTAATATACCTAAATAATATATATTTTATAGATAACTAATATTTTGCAAGTGCGAACCACAATGTACTATCTTTAATCTAGAGACAGTTTAACACCAATCGTGGTTCGCATTTGCAAAATATTAGTGCGTTTTGAAACCTATAAAAAAAAGTGTCGCAACCGATCTGTTTACGATTGTACCTATACTGCATATATGTAATTGGTATGTAAATCAGTATTTTATTTTAAAAAAATTAAATAAAAATTAACATTATTGTTGCATGTTAAATTTTATAATTAAAATAATATTAAAAAATTGTATTAAAATAGTCTGAAAATTCCGGAAGTAATACGATAATTTTTGAGACGAACTTTTTCAATAATAATCAATTTCATCAACAAGGCGGGAATGTAATGACAAGAAAATCAAGCATTAAGCGGAATTCACGCAAGATTTAATGTAATTAAAAACTTATTTTTATTTTTTCGCGAAAAACGCGAAAACTGATCTTTCATCGCTTGTAGTATAACACGGTTATCCGATGTATCATTGTCATTCAACTGTTTCACTGCTTGTGAATATTGCATTATGCTCCCGAAATTTCTTTTGCAATGGTTTACCGCAATGCATTTACATGCATGTGAAAGGATAGTGACCGCATTTGCGTTGTACTCGGATCATAGAATAATGTGTTAGATATTGTTGCGCCGTTAGACGTATGATTCAATCGAGTAATCAAAACAACACTGCGTTAATCATACGAACCGAATTGTTACACATATTAATTATTTTGGACATTCATGTTCTCATTTTATGAATCATGTGCTTGGTAATTTATACGTTAAGTTCGATTCTGTGAGAAAAATTCAGAAAATAGTAAACTTATAATTTTTCAGAAGAAGAAATATCTTGTCAGACAGTTAGTAAAACAATTTTATAACGTCACGCGAACGAGACGTTAAATTATAGCATGCGTTTAGCATCATAATGTCCCTTTCATCTCCATAATTTCGAGAACACTGCTTTCCTATGGATGTAGCATGAATGTAGCGTGGATGCAATTGAATTTCAAAACATATGTATTTTGCGGACCAACTATCTCCCTATACAGGTGGTAAACTGGTCCCGCGAAGGAATGCATTGACAGGTTGATAATGCATTGCGAGTCTACTGCACTTTTGGACATGTTGCACGAATTTTTATCACGAATCCGTGATCGATCGCGAGAAATTGCAAAAAACGTGAAATGCAGAAATAGTCATCTGCTCTGTGTTCATGACACAAATTTTTTGCGACCTTATCTACACGTACACATACTTCAACAGAATCGTATTTACAGATCTTTTAAAAAATTACGAATGAAAAGATGGAATGGATAAAAAGAATATAATTTTCGTGCTTTTATTCCTGTTTCAAAATAATATAGTAATTGAACAAAAAATTATATAAAAGATTAAAATAAAATACTGCACACGCACACACGTTAGAATTTTCTACAGTATTAATTTGTGTAGAAAAATCTACGAACGAAAAACTACTAACGAAGTAACAAAGAAATGCGACATTTTGATATCAACATATATGTCAAAGAGAACACTAAATAATAAAAATAACAATTCTTCATATGTTGCTGTGAGTTGTACATTTTTCTACGATCGAGCAATCGCGTGAGAGAAACGACTGCATAAAGGCTGCATGAAAGCAGCTTGTTTGCAATGAAAATTTACGATGATGATTCGGGCGCTGTTCCCTCAGAAACGTTTCAAACGTTTCTCAGGCAGCAGAACGTTCGAGAAAAAGATCCTTTCCACGTTTTCGATCTGTCTCTACTATACATATTTATATCATGTTAAAGAAAGCGAGAAACAGTCTTCACCCCCATTGTTCCAAACGCGCGAGCGCATCTCTCTCTCTTTCTTTCGAAAGATATTTTAGATTCGAAACCTGAAACGTACCTGAATAATATGACATTTTAGTATAGCGAAAGTCTGTTTCGCTTAAAAGTTTAATTTTATCAACAGCATAATATGTCCAGTGATTAATGGGCTTTTACAAATACAATATTTTAATAAGGCCTATCTTATTTTATAATCTTATCAAAATAAATAAATAAACAATATTGAAGAAAAGAATTTTTAAACATTTGTTATGTATAATCCTTTACCTACAAGTATATCTTCCATTATAATATTTTAGTAATGGCATCTGATTTCCGAAGTAGGTTTTTCTGGTTAATTTAGCGAAATTTACGAACGCAATAATAATCGGCTATCGAATGCAAGTCTGCAGATCTAATGATGACACACAATACGAAAAACACTCTCTGCCTATTTATAAATGTACCAAGTTATCCTCCGCGCACATCGTATCGCAAGCTTTGAATACTGTAAACTTTGAATTAGATATTCTTAAGTTCAATATATCACAAACAAATATTACATATTACATACCTAACGAAAATTATACCACATATATACGAGCGAATTGCGAAACACGTGTAATTATACGATGTTAACGATGCAAATTTCACGAAGCAGAAGGAAAATTATTCGGAAGCTTGCACTATCCTTATCAAGAGGATATTATAATATAAGACCGAATTAAAACCATTGCGAAATATTCAATAATTCAACGTATAAAATTTGATTAACACGTGCTTGCATTTAATTGTCACTTACCTCTATTCGAGAGTTTTTTGGTGTTTATAATTTTTGCAGCAAACTCGTGACCGGTGCTCTTTTGTACACATCGTCGAACCACGGAGAAGGCACCTCTGAAACAATCACAAGAACAAACATATGTTATCAGATGGTTATGTAATTGCTATTCATTAATAACACCGCGGGTGATAATAACACGCGGAATATACATGGAATTATCTCATCCATGCGGCGCATAACACAGTACAGATTATTAAAGCGTATGTTATAAGTAATAAACGAGTTATGAGTCCTCGCTATAATTTATTGCATCGAAACTGCCACGGGCTGTAGAACATCCGAAAATAGAATATCCAAGTACTCAAAAGTTTAGATGCATTTATGAGAGCTGATTAGTTTATTAGCTAGTATTATGCCAATATTATATATAACTACGAAATGTCTACATATACTTTGACAATTACATGAGAGAATAACAACGAACACTAACTTTCGCAACTCCTTGAAAATCACTGACCTCAACTGTTTTAATAGCAAAACTGTTCCAAGTTCATAATATAAACATAATAAAAATGTAAATACATTAATCCAATAATCCATATAATTTGTTGAATTCGATTAATTATTGTTCGCGATTATCAATAGTAATATGTTTAATACGACAAATGTTTAATATCCAATAGCATTATTGCGTGGAACATTAAAAGATGAATCAAGTCACTGGGTTACTCATCTCTTTAACTAAACGCAATTCTTGTCATCAAAAGAGATCATAGGAGATCTGTCATTAAATATCATAGTTTAAATATCTTTCGTCGCAGCTTTTATTAGACGAAAAACAACCGAGTTTAATAATTCTCAATATATAATAATAATAATTTTATTCGTGATACTTTTCTTACGAATTTGCACAATACAATAAAAATTATTACATTTTCATATCGAAAAGCAGATGACCGATGTGTAAACAAATTTTTCGAAAGGAATATTAAGATTCTTCGAACTCAAGTGCACATATACATTGCTAGATTTATTACAATTCTATAATTTTCAAGGAATCTAAATGATGACGTCACTGCCTAATCAAATCGATTTTACAATTCGCTTTATACCTCCGCGTTGCTAAAAATAAAACGATCGCGATTACGTCAGTGATGTCAAAAGACGATTCTCAATGTAAAAAGAGCCGACGAATTGAGTCGTAACGAGACAGCGATTACACACAAAGACTGGCGAGTAAGGTCCACCCTCAGAATTCATATATCTCTAGCTACCTATACCTTATGAGAACTAAACTTTCTTGATTATCTCATACCTCCGCACACCGACGCACTTCGCGCCGTTACTCCTTCTATATATATGGAAAACCTCGTGCAGTACAGCGCTGGGGAAACTTGGGCTTACTAAAGTTTCTCCGCGCCGCGTTCTGTAGCGCCGTCGATCAAGGTGGCAGATTAGCGACTACAGATTGTCCATTGAACCAACATTTGCCGAGACAGATTTAAATGTCGTTTCTTCGCAAACAACGCGCGACTTCCGTTTATCGATTCGGAACAATAACAAAAATCTGTTATTATCCGCGGACGGTTACCCTGCACACGTTTTGTTGTTATGAAAAAGAGATTTTGTTCAATCGAGATGGAAATTATTCCAAGAAATTGCGTTTTTTCAGCTATCATTTAAAAAAATGAAAAATAAATATAGAAATCAAGTTTAATTAATTTTTTTAATGTTATAAGTTGAATAATGTTGTAAATATGTATCTATTTCAAAAGGACCATGATAAGCGATCTTGTTGGTTGAGTAAGTATATTTTCATATCGGAATCAAAAAGAAATCAAAAGATGAAAAAAGAAGTGAAGAAAGAAGCGATAACAAAGAAAATGTAGCTAGCGTGATATCAGCAAATAATTGCCCCTTGTTATTCGTTTTCTGATACAGGAGGTAGGTATGTAAAACTATCAGCGGCATGTCTGTAATTGGCTTCAAATTGAATCAGTAAGAATAAACCTATACGACTAACAGATTGATCGCGATCCATTGTCGCGGAGAAAAGTAGCACAGCGGCTGCTAGCAATATCATCGTAAAACTCCGTGTATCGTCACGGATAATTGACAGTTATATTTATTGCCGCCTCAAATTTTTCTTGAGTGTAAATGGCAATCAGTAAGCATTCGAAATTGAAATCGAAGGAGTATCAGTTTTCTGCACGCAATAAATGAATGGCGCCATTAAATTATGTAAGGTTCGATACAGATAAAAGTCATTGCAAGAATTTCCTATGCTTCTTATCATTCTTGTGCCTCGATATTATCTTGCTAAATCTTCATATTAAACGGAGTTTTAATCCTTAAAATAAAATACAATAGAAATGTGACAACACAAAATATTTATGCTTAGTTATGGTCAGCCTCTCTATAATATGCGTAATTACGTATTGTAATAAAATTACAATACGTAAATATAAATCGTTGTATAAATTAATAAATTAAATATCATAAGTTCAATAAAATACTAGATAGATATATAATATTAAAAAAACAATACATACATATATTGAGAAGAACACAAATATTATATTTTTCGCGGCAAAGATATTTCAAATAAAAAATTTCACGTGGAAATCTCTCCGAACTCTTTCCGTAGCGAAAGTATAATTAACCTTACTGCGGGGTACACAGATACCCGAGGCCGACATTGGTCTTGCTGGCGTCGGCGCCGTGTTGCAAGCCAGCGATGCGACGCGACGCGGCACGACGCTCCGCGTCGCGACGCGCCGCCACGACGATCACGCCGCTCGGTCTGCCCGGAGGAAAAAGGGCGAGGTGGGTGCTTGGCTCGTTTCCATGACGACCAATCATTACCGGAGATTGTGCCACCAGCTACTCTGTGTGTGTGCGTGCGTGCGTGCGTGCGTGTGTGTGCACCAATCCCCGCCACGCCAACCTCCTGCCGCTTTTCCAACCCCCCAACGTAAAGCGAGGTAGCTTTTCCGCTCACGTGCTCTTTACGAGATTATACCGCCGAAGCACCAACGATTATTTAACGTCACGCTCCTGTTCTCGCGCTGCACGCTCATCCCCTTCGCGTGTATGTCGGTCACGATCAGATACATTTGAATATTACAAAGTATCGAGGCTTCCATTAATCAAATATCGAATATTGCGAGCATCAATCAAATGGTGCAACAAAAATACACAACTTTAATAAACATAATTTTTAAAGATTTTTATATTAAAACGAACATGAATTTCTTTTCTGCCAAAAAAGTATCGATAGCAATTGTAATAGTGAGAAAATCCTCATTATATCACGATATATACACACACACGATACATTATATAATGTATGACGATATATGTAGATGTGTGGTTACTAAAAAAAAAAAAAGAAGGAGCAGAACATTCAAAAATATCCTCGTTATTTTAACCAAAAATTTTTACAGCAGAATCGGCGATAAAATTACAAATAATTTTGCATTGGGAAAAATTTCGGGGAGAATGAAAGATTATTATCTGTTGCAACTTGTTAATATTCAATCGTATTTTATCGCGCTTGGCGAGTGATCGCCTTGGCGGAGAAGTCCGGGCGTGGTGTAGTTTACTAAAATGAGCAACTGCGACGTGGTTCTCTCTGGCAGTAATGCGCGACACTAATGGTGCATAATTGACAAAAGTTCACGATAAATGCAATACACTATGTCGCGAGATGCAAAGCAGACGGGCAGCGATTGTACATTCTGCCTGTGTTACGAACGAGAGTAGCTCGTAAGACTATAGAACAATAAGATGCTGGATAAAGAAATTCTCAGATGCAAACAGATGTAGTACGAGTGCGTAAGAAGTATGTGAGCATCGAATGCAATGTGATATGAAATTACGTCACACGTTCTCTCCTGTGATGCAACACGTTCTCTCCTGTGATGCAACACGATGCAATTTTCGTTTCACGTTTAGCTACGAGAAGACTTAGGAAGCGGAAATTAAACTACGAAGGATGAATTCATTATTCTGTGAGCAGCAGTCAATTCAAAGACCTATTTAACTTGATTCGATTTAATATCGATATAATTCTCTATTCCAAAACTTTTTATTCCATTTGTGAAATAATTTAAAATCTTAACAACTCGAGGAAAGTGTGTCTTGTAACAAATCCATATTGCAAGCGTCCTTGTTTAAACATGACCGTTACGTTAACGTAATTCATATAAAAAAATGTTTTGAGCAATTCCATAAACGATGTTTTATACAGCAAAATCAACAATTTATAACGACGCCGTTCTTCGATACTAAATGTAAAGTGAATACTATATTATTCCACGCTAAAAGTAACGAGATGAAAGTTTTCCTCCGCTCTCGGAAACGAATCGAGATTTAAATTTCTAAAATCGCACGACGAATATGCTACGATAGTCTTTGCATCTTTTGGATTAACATATAAAGTTTTCTCTACAAAGATGGCGAGCGATGAAGGAAACGAGAGCGAACGTGAGGTAAAAAATGAACTATGCGAGATGAGATACAAGATACGCGTCGTTTATTTTTAAGCCATTAACCCTTTCAGTATCGTAAGACTTTTCTTATTAAAGAAAAGAATTTTTCTGAATTTTTCATGAACTTTACATTGTAAGTGCGCGGTACTTTGTCAAGAAATGAAGATTTTCGTATGAAAAAAAAATACGATAGAATTTTTTAAATCAAAAACATTTTCGAAATAAAATTTTGTGAAATAAGAAATATTTTACAATAAAAATGAAAATTAACTTTTACGATAACGCATAAATTCTATCGTATTTAACTAGCTGTTTTTTACTTGCAATTCCGTTTCAAGATTACAGATTAAGAGTATATTCTCGCATTTTGTCGCGAATCTTTCTTCTTTGCGTGATATTGCGCCGCAAAGAATACAGTAAAGTAAACAGGAAAAAAATGACAATGGAGGAAAGACATATGAGGCTAGGCAGCAAGATAAAAAAGGAAGCCGCGCAAGAGTGGAATAGAAGACGATGTTGCGGAAAAAAAATCCGTGAGAGAAGTGAGGGATGCAAGAATAATGCAAGGGGACGAAAGACATCGACCTTGAAACGAGTCAGTTCGCTCGCCGACGTGGAACTAGGGCGATCGACGATGAATCTTCAAAGAGAAGCGTCCTGTCGCCCAACAACGACGACGACGACGACGACGGCGGCGACGGAGATGCGCTTTAAATACCCGCTCGTTCTTGCCGACACACGGCTCGCTTACTCGCCACGCGAGCCTGTGACGTTAGCCTAAGGGCGCTTTTCTTCCTTACCCGCCCGACTACCCCGTGATATCTCATCGTACTCAATTTATCACCTTCCGAGCGTCGATGATGCCCCTCGTTTTTTTTCGTTGTAAGTCATTTTTCCACTATTCCACACATAACGATTTAACTAAAATTTAGGAGACCTACTGACGAAAAAAATTACAGAAAGTTTATATCTCTTTTATTTTATGGGCAATTACTATTATTTTGCTGTTTATCTCTTTAATAGAATTTTCGATTGATTATAGATTATATCATGACATTTAATCTTAGAATTGACTGTTTAATAAAAATATAAATTTGATCTAACCAAAAAGAATAACAAAAAGAAGGATAAAATAATAATTTGTTATATTTACATTAGATATCTTAGACCTTACAGAGTTGTAACAAGCAAACTGATCTTTCATAATGGGGCAAATATAAATATTCTTTTTTTTTTTTGCTCAATATCCTTAATAACCACAGAGCTCTTACTGACAAGTATTAATATTAACTTTATCGAACTTTCGCCGATTGGATTTCGCGGCGAAACCTTCAATCGAATGATGCTAAGGCCATCGAAAATAGCCTCCTGTTATCCAAGTTATTTTTCGATCTGGAGGAAACTCGTGGGCGAACTAATCGAAGAAGCACTATCACAAAAGAAAAAAAAAGAGAGAATGAGAGAAGCTTTAACCGAGATAATGTATCTTACAAAATGGGTATGCTTTTGAGCGCGCAAGTCCTACGCGCGGAGAATCCTGTGATCTCGTTGCGCCCGATTTCTTTATAGCATAGCATTGCGCATCACGCGGTAGGTCATAAAGCGTAGTGTTTCCGCACTTTGCGTAGCGGACTCTACCCTATCCTACTTGTATTGTTGCAACGCCAATATGTAACCAATCGCAAACGTGAGCCGTATATGCCATTGTATACATGTACATATACATATATGTGTATAATGTGATGCAGCAAACACAGAACTGTCGGCTACTGCTGCTGCGAGTGGGCCGACTCTTATCACCGAGAGCTATTATTAACCCTTAAACTGACAATGAGTAGCCGGCTTTCCGGCTATATATTAGAATATTGTCCCTATCGAAATTGCCACAAGGATATGACCTTCGTTAAACCTTCAGTCGAATCATTGCAAACTATTGCATGGAACATAAGAACATAGCTTGTAAACTTGTAAACTCATAAATTTGAGAAAAAAATTTAAAATAAATGTCAAATGTTTTAAACAACATACACATAACTATTATTTTAAATAATACAATTTTATTGAACAAAAATTGAATTTTATAAAATATTTTCCTCAAAAGGATCTACACACACAAAAATCATAGACATATCATTGATGTCATAAGGATGAAACTTATCTCATACATAAAATGTTTGATTAAAATAAAAAAAGAAAGAGATTTTAAATACAAGATGTAGACTATCTTGGTTGATTAATCTTTTTAATTTTACGTGAGAGTATCGTGTCACGTGGATATACATACTATGAAATTATATATGTACATCCGATTATTCAAGTGTTTTAGTTCTGTGAAGCGGATAATAGCATATAACACAGCAATTAATGGAAAAGCGCTATGTTATAAGTTCATTATTTTATTGAATAAATAATTATGCTCCCAGTTTCATAACAATAAATAAAAAAAGAATATAATAATTATGATTCATACAAAATTGAGGAAATTCAACGAAAGTTACTCGCGCAAACTAGAAAACTTGACGTTTAATTAGTGCATAAATGTGAATATGCAAGCATTGATGTCAAGTTTTTACCTCTACATTCTCTCTTACAAGAATAGACTCAATTAACATAGTTAATTAAATTGCGTTAAATATATATTGCTTGCCGTATTTGTACACTTGGCAGAGGCCAAAAATCTAGTAAAAGAAATATCAACGTTAAACAAAACAATTCAACTACAAAAGACTATAAAATAGCCTACGTAATTGAAAATAGTACGTAAAGAAAAATCTCAATTAAAACTAGTACTTTCAAGTAGCATTGCTTATTAAAAAATACTTTCTCCATTCACTTCGTATTTGATAAAAGTTTTTCTAAACAGTGCCAACATATTCTTACAGCGTTAATCTTCTCCAAGAGCAAAAAAGAACAATTCTTAGAATATAAAACAATTGCTGCGTTTCTTCTAATTGATGTTCTCGCCGCATAACCATAAAAACTCGTGCCGCTTCGACGTCGCTAAAACATCGAGTAATGCAAGTCTTGTCTGCAATAAATTCAAATCGCAGTACACCCATAAAATAGACTAATGTAAATAATTGGCGGGTGAAATATGTTGAGATAACGACCAGGTAGTCTCTCCATCACGAAATCGAGAATTATCCCCGCTCATATACAAGAATCGAAAGCCGGATTATGGCGGAAGGCCAACGCCGCGTGACGAGTAATAGTCGATAAGATAATTTCCCTAGGGGTAGTTCTCGCTTCACTCTTTTCCCAACGAGTCATTACTTTATTACGCAGCTGTAGCTGTTTAGATAAAAAGCCTAAAATTCTACGAATAACGACCGTGCGACCATAAGTATTATTTTGTTAAGAAATTAAGGCGAATCATTAAGATGAATGATGAGTAAGGGCGCGGAAGTTTGTGGAATTTTTTTTACGCCAAATTCGAGAATTGGAGAATCACACGATTTTTTTCTGATAATGCTAACAGCAGAGAGCAAGATACACGGTAGATGTTATTTAAATTAAACAACAACGCATGTAAAAATATAATAATTGAATATAACCGCTTCAACGTGTCTCAATATTGCCTGTCTCAGAAAGCTAACTGTAACATTTTACAAATTTCCGTATCTTAATAAAGCTTAATCGTTAATTCAGTTATACCGTAAGATGAAAGTCAAACGATACTAAAGATTGGAAATTTTATCACTGTGAATCTTTATACTTTCAGAAAAATGACATAAAACTCATTGGAATATAGATTGGAATTCCATATTCGACGAGAATATGAAAAAAAGAAAAAGGAAATGTATAAACAATCTTTTTCGCATTGAAAAACATTTTGCAATTCAGGCACTCAGCATTTCCCATTTTTTCAAAATCGTTTATCATAATTAATGCTCATATTATTCATCACAGATTTCACGAGAGCCAAGTATTATGATGTCAACCCTTTATTCGCCGAGAACCTCGTATACCTATTTATGCCAGGGAGACACGCGCGCGCGATAAAAAAAATCGCAACGATGCAATGAGCGTCGGGTGCATGGGGCGATAAAGTATGCTTTTAGGATACGGCCGCGGCGACGACGTCGGCTAGAAATTGTAATTTACACTCGGGAAATCGCGTGGTGAACAAGACCTCGGCAGTAAAATTTCACACTGCTACTGAAATGCCATGCATTTTCTATCATCGAAACGATGTATGGCAAAATTATGTAACGCATGTGCAATTTTATTACAAACACAACGTAATCTGCTTTCGAGATAGAACCTCTTTTCAAGAGAACTAAAATGTCACGATTAAAAATGCGAATACAAATGATATTAATTCCATAGTTTAAGAATTCAATGCAAAAATTATAAAAAGTGTAGATTACAATTTCATTTACACTAAAAAAGAATGAGGTGCTTTACAATTTTTATTTTAATGTTTTCCCAACAATCATCTTGAGATCTTTTAATCTAATATTTACTTTGCACGCTTTGCATAATTTATCTTTTCTCTTAAAACATAGCAAGTAAATATTTTTCTCTCAAAGTTTTCTATTTTCCACGTAGACTCAATATTAGTTAAACTTCTCGAGATTATTGTGCTTATTTCAAAAATTGCGTTGTATATATACTATACATATCTAATAATTATCGTCAATATTTTCTTCTATTGTAACTACTAATTCATTGATTTTATCTCTTATTTTTCGTCTTAAAATTGCGAATTGTGAAATTATTCGTTAAGAACCAACTTTGTGTAAAAATAGTTTTACTCCAAACGACGAACAATGCATAACTCTGATTTCGCATTGGACCGCATTGTTCCACGTCGACCAGCCGACGCGTGCAACAAAATAGAGAATGGCGACTGCTCGTGATAGTTTTGTGTGGATTCCCGTGGCATTCAACCGCGTCTCGTCCTCTTCGTCGTTCGTCGTCGTCGTCGTCATCGTCGTCGTCGTCGTTGACGACGGTGATGATGACAGAAAAACAAAACCGCAAAAAAATGGAGTTCGCAGTCTCTAAGCGATTCTTACAATGATAAGATGCATCTAAGTATGCATATTTATCGACAAAGAAATTTGCTACTTAATTTTTTCATTTTTAATGAAACTTGTACATATGTAGAAGCGAAAAAAATAATATTTATTTGTTTCTATTCCTATTGTTCTCTTATATTTAAATAGAAATAAAAATATTAATCAACATTATATTTACTTCATCAATGAAAGAAAGAGATAAGGGATTCTCTTTCGTAAAAAAAAGATTCAGTTCACGAGGCGTGTAATAAAAATATTTGTATAATAAAACACGAGATTGATCGCTTTTTAATACGTCTGCTTTAAACGCCAAAATATGCAGGTTTAATCTTGTCTGTGAGATACCAATACCCTATATTAAATTTAAGCATCCCCAGGCGCACCTCGACACAGTCTGTGCTCGATGATTCGTTCGATATCCCGCCCGCTCGGAAAGTTTCACAGGTTATCTTTGACGTTCGACACGATGGATTTCGGGGATGACCGGCAGCCGTTGGAATGACATCCCATCAATCCATTAGAAGCGTCGCAGAATTCATCGACGAACAAAAGTACATTTTATTCAATCGGCAAGGGCTCGTAACTTATTCGATTCCGAATTTTTGCTCTTTTCTGATTTGATAGTTTGAATTTAACATAATATTACGTATAGTAAGATAATTGAAATTGTTAAATAAATGAGACAGTGCAATGGTTTTTTACAATCAGTAGTTATCCCCTTTTCATTTTCAATTTTTGAATCACTATTATGTGAATAGTCTCTGATTACTATTTTTGTGTGCAAAGAAAGAAAGAGAATTATTACGTTAAACTATTCTTTCAAATGTCTCGTTTAACATTAAGTTTGACAATATGCAACAATAATATGTTAACAAGTTAATACTCCTTATTTTCAATTTAAACAAAGCAAAAAATTATTATAAACATTCAGAAATGCGTCGTTTGGCGTTTTTACTTTGTTTTAGCAAAAAAAAAATCGACACATACAGTCATTGCGTGCTCAAGCATATCTACTTGCTCACTATTTTCAGCCTACCGATATGTAACATACGAAGGGAGAATGCCCATGCCGGAAATACCCTGTAACGAGAACAGATACTTGGACACTGTCCGAGTATCGTCGAGCATCCCTCCATCCCGAGATGAGAAAGAGGTAAAAGGAAAGAGGCGATGGAGATGGAAAATATAAGAAAGTTGGATAGAAACTCTGCTGGTGGGGACTGAGTGTCGACGAGGGGGTTGGTTGGTCGGTTTAGCCGACGGGCGGGGATGGCTTTAACCGGTCGATACTTCGCGTTCCACGGCGGGGTGCAAGTGAGTGCGGTACAGCAGCGGCACAGCCCTGATCCATACACGCACGCGCGCGCGTGTATACACACACACACACACACGATTGAAGTGTCGATCGGCTGGACGTTGCATGTATGTATGGATGGATGGATATTGCATATTTTGCATAATTTTGAATCAAAGATTCTTCTCCAATCACTTTCACCTACAATAATATAAAATCTGCTTGCGTTACGACTTGCAAAGTAATAACTGCGAAAAAATGATATCAGTTCTGATTCGCATAGCAAACGACGATGCCGACGCCCTCTGCGGAAGAATACACATACAGGATACCCGAGTTCAACGTTCTCTCTGTTCCGTTTAGGTCGAGCTCTTGACAAAGATGAAGTCGAGAGTTTCTTAAGAAAATCTATAAAGATTAATTTCGCGGTAAACTTAATTATCAAGATGATAATATGGAAACAAGAAATATTTTTCAATAAATTTTCATGTACCACCCAATGTGGTGTTAAAATTTATTTAGACAGATTGCTGTACTCTTTTTATAATACTTTATACTATTGTAAGTTTGCGTGTACTTTCAAGAAGTTGATAATATATTTTTTTAATGCTACATAGTTTTTCGTTAGTAACAATTTATTGCCATTCTATCTTCTGGCAAATCTTATCAATATAAATTTATAAAAATATTCATTATGACAAATGTAT